GTGTGTGTGTGTGTGTGTGTGTGTGTGTCTGCTTTACACCTTGGAAAGAAAATCCTGAAAGAAGAACATCAAATACCTAAATGACATATTGAGGTTTTTTTATTCCGCGCACAGCCGAGAATCGCTATCTAGACAAGACCAGAGTTGCACATGACCGGCGTTCTTCTTACATAATGATACGGGGCCGTATAAGTATAACCTAAAGTATGCATCATGTGAGTAGCCTGGAGGTGTGCTAGTTCTGTCCCTTGTTGTTAGCTGTGCCGAGGAAAGTGCCCTTGGATTTTCCAGACCGCTTCAGCCATAGGCAGCATGTGAGCATTTCCTTCCCCCCGGCATCAGGATGTGTGTTTCTGCAGATCTTGTGTGTGTGTGTGTGTGTGTGTGTGTGTGTGTGTGTGTCTGCTGGTAGTAATCAATGGAGGAGAACCAGCAACAACTGGGCTTGAGCAAGAATCCGGCTCTCTGTTCTTTATTCAGACTTCCGAAATGAATACTCTTCTCCATATTGAGCTTTACTTGCGGGGCCCGAGTCTCTTGTTCTTCAGTTTGTCTCTTCACAAGTCTGATGGTTTCTACCCTGACCGCATACATTGGGAAAAGTGCGTGCAATTGACACGGCCCATTCACACTAGTGCATTGAGATGGCGCATACATAGATAAAGCAGAACTCCGGGATAAGCAAATACAAGTCGTATGTATTCTTCCTTAAGTCTTGGTGAGCTTTGTGTATTCCAGATCTGTGCAGTAATCCCGTGTGAGACTTGGAGCTTCCTGTAATAAAGACCGCCCACTGCTGCTCTCTTCTATCCTTGTGCTGGTCTTGTCTCCGCCCCCTTCTTTAATAATGGCCGCTCACTGCTGCTCTCTCCTTCTGCAGTGAGACTTGTCTTGTCTCCGCCCCCTCCTGTAATAAAGATCAGTCATTGCTGCTCTTTCTCCCTGTGCAGGGAGACTGGTCTTGTCTCCGCCCCTTTCTGTAATAAAGACCGCTCACTGCTGCTGCTCTCTCTGTTCTTGTGCAGGGTGACTGGTCTGGTCTCCACCCCCCCCCCCCCCCCCCCTAATAAAGGCCGCTCACTGCTGCTCTCTTCCCCTGGCCTGGTCTCTGCCCCATCCTGTAGTTTTCAGCTGGCAGCCTCTAGTGGGTGGGACCTACTGGGTCCCGCCCACAGATCTGATCTCTGCCCAGGTTACTGCTACTACTGTACTGTAGGTAATATCTGGTTTTGCAAAGGAATTTTGTGCACACAATTTGGATTTATATCCTTTTTATGGCTATTGAAGATATTTCAATGAAAGCTTTTGTGCTTTCATCTTTAAAATATGTCTGTTGAATAGCATGACCCACATAGGGCGCTGTGGTTGTTTGAGCCAGCGCAGTGATGTTACTGCTACTTTTGCAAGGTAATATGAATCAAGGAAGCACATTTGAATGGGTTGCAATGCACATAAAACTGTATGCCGCAAGGTTTGGTTCACCTCTGGTATTTGTTGCATGTTACAATGCATGGTTACACTCCCTATGTGCATTGGGGTGGAATACAATGAGTGTCACCGCCTCGTGTCTCGTGCCTTGCCATGTGTTTGGTAACGCATGGTGAAAGCCACAATCTGACATCTAAATCGTCCAGCACCATAAAACCTCTGCACAATGCTGGGAGGAAAGTAAGGCCTCGGAGTGTCTGAGCGACTGGGGGGGCGTTGGCAGAGACTGATGTGAATAGTTTAATGTACAGTGCTCTGTAAAATGCTATAGAAAGTGTCCGAATGTTATAAATGAGCAAAACAAATGTTACATTATGTTCAGGTGCAACTAACACAACTCAGTCTGCATCTACAAAACATAAATCATACTGTACTTGCCATTTTTAATGCCTTTCATTTGTATGGAGATGTGTTATTTATCACCTCCTAGACTGAAACGTCTCTATTTGTTGTAATGATTTTATTTCATTCTTGTAACGTTCTGATCAACATTTTTAAACAGAAGCTTTCCAAAACATTTGGAATGTTTATCGTTTATAATTTAATTATATGGCTTTTAAAATAAGAGATTGCAACAGTAATATTCTCCAGTTGGTAGGAAAGATTTGCCTGCGGTTCCAGACATTCGCCAGCAGAGGGCAGCGTCTGCTCGTCCTTTTTGGTTGACCTGTATGAGTCCTCTTGGGCAGCGGAGAATCAATCTGTTGCAGATGACCAGGCTAAAAGGATAACAAGACCTCAGAGTAATAGAGAACGTAAAATAATACCCTGTTTCCCCGAAAATAAGACCTACCCCGAAAGTAAGACCTAGCACTATTTTTCAAGATTCCTGTAATATAAGACCTACCCCGAAAATAAGACCTAGTTTGGTGGTAGCATGTGAGGGAGAACTGGAAGAGCAGGAGAGATGGTATCAGCCTGCAGGGACATACTGTATTAAGGGGATGACAGGGGACTCCCTCCAGACAGCGCAGTGACAGAGAGCACTCCAGTACCAGACTTCACTAACTGCTGTCCCCCTGAAGGCACTGCTTAATGTAATGGTACTGTACTGTACTGTAATGTGTACCGGTAAATGGTACCATACTTTACCACGCTGTCCACTGTCTGATGTCCCCACTGCTGCACCGCTGGTACCACTGTCCCTGGTGGCATAGGAAGCCAGCGCTGTAGAAAGCAAGGCTGCGGCGGCTAAGGGAGCAGAGCCGCATTGGCCGATATTCCTCTAGAGCGCCAGTTACTGTGACAGGTGGAGTGATACCAAATAACTTTGGATTGTTGTACATTTTGTTGCACATAAAAAAAAAAAAAATAAGACATCCCCTGAAAATAAGACCTAGTGTGGTTTTTGGGGGCAAACAAAATATAAGACAGTGTCTTATTTTCGGGGAAACACGGTAGCTATACAATAATTTACTGCAGAGCTGGACGAATCCCTTGAGCCAGGCACGAATGCACCGAAATAGTTACATTTGGCACTTTTATTTTCGGAACCCATTATATTGTAAATGGACCGTATAACCAGACGGGTTACAGTGTGAAGGGGCCAAAGGAATCATAAAAACCTTCCAACTGAATCAGTATGTTGCACTACTATTATATCAGTATAAAGCCTTCTTGGAACAGAAGATATTCACATGTCTCATTCATGTCCCAAAATAAGAGGATTGTTCCACATTTCAGGACAGTGAATGCAGCCATGCAAATAATTCCTTTACACACCATCAGATGCATCCAGAACTGCTGCTGTATAGTGCAATATAACAGGGGCGTCCCGAGGCTGGGTGACACCTAGAGCAGAAGGTCCATGCGCGGTCGTCTTATTGACGCCTGCCGGCGGCCATCTGGTGATGGACACCGGCAGAGAGAGGAGGGGACGTTCACCCGGCGGGATGAGTATGCCGCTGGGTCCCCTCCTCTCTCCTGACATTGTCGGGCTCACGGTCAATGACAGAGTGCCCGACTTTTAGGGGGTGACACCAAAATGACAGTCATTTTGCTGTCGCCCCCTCCAATGGTGGCACCCGGCTGCGGGCTGCACCCCCCGCCCCCCCTTGTGACGCCACTGCAATATAGCCCAGTATTATAGAACCATTCATTCCAAATGGCATACAGCTGTTTCAGGCATCATCAGTGCAGTGTATGGAAACCATGGCTTCTATGGAGGAGGGATTGGGACCCAATGTGACATTATAACATGTAATGGAGAAAAGGAACTAAAGGAATCGGCGCAGCACAGGAAAACAACATTTGAACAGGGGGTATTCACATGTCTTGTCCCATCACGTATCCCAAAAATAAAGGCACCCCTATTCTGTGCTGAAAGCTTACCTTCTTTTTAATCCTTTCTGAGCCTTTGGAGTCTTTGTGTTCCAGACACACATAGCTGCTCCCCATTCTCAGCCTGATGTTGGCCAATGTCCTGGCGGAGGCTGGGAGAGCCCTCGTACAATCTTCAAACGCTGCTAATGGAAATCTTCCCGGTCCCCTGCCAGGACCTTGGCTGACGGCAGAATACGGACGGGGAGCAGCAGCGTGCACGTGGAATGTGTCGGAGCTAATTAAAAGGATTTTCGGTACAGCAGTTCAAAGACTTTTATACATATGTACCGAAAATGCTGCAAGCGCTATTTTGATCGCAGCGGACCGCAGGCACGATGGTGCCTTGCGATCCCGTGCGGGCGATCACATTGCGGCCGGAGGGCGTGGCTACAGTGCCATTCACTTCAATGGCCTGCCACGCTCCCTCCGGCCCCACGAAATAGTGAGCCGGCGGCGACGCAGTGCGTTCCAGCCAGAATCGGGCCGGAACGCACTGCATATTGGTGTGAACGTTCCCTAATAGAGGTTTACTCCAGGAGTATAGAATGAGACTGGAAATTCTAGAGGCATTTTTAAATTACTCTTCAGGGGCGTCCCGAGGCTGGGCGACACCCGGAGCGGTATCCGAGTGTCACCCCCGCCGAGACGTCACCGCGCATGCAGTATTCTGATACCTGCCGGCGGCCATCTTGGTGATGGACGCAGAGAGGGGAGGAGACAGCCACTCGGCGGGATAAGGTATGCCGCTGGGTCCCCTCCTCGATAAGGTATGCCGACGGGTCCCCACCGAGCGCCCGACTTTTCAGAGGGGGGTGACACCAAAATGACTAAGTCATTTTGGTGTCACCCCTCCAATGGTGTCACCCGGGTGCGGGCCGCACCCCCCTTGTGACGCCATTTGTTACTCTTTAACTAAACCCACTAGATTTTAGTAGACTAGATCTACCGTAGACTTGGTCGACTAATCTTACGATATTTAGTAGACTAAAAATAGACTGAAACCAAAACAATTCGGATGACTAGAATATGACTAAAACTAAATGACATTTTAGTCAAAAGACTGTGACTAATTCAAAATTTTGCTGTCGGAATGAACACTGCGCAGATCTCGGCATTGAGAGTGGTTGGCGCCTGTTTATTATTGTCTTGGAGTTCCTGAAGCTGAATTTCATTTTCTTTTTCTTTTGCAGATGTTCAGCATCCCAGACCTGAGTAGCTGTACCGGAGAGAGGCATGAAAGTACGTTTGTTGCAGTCATTTGTTCAGAGTGTGGAAGAGATGGACCCCCCGTCAAGTTTTTGTTGCTGTTTATGAATCTGTTGGGGAAATTTAGGTGTAGGGAATTCTTCCAATGAGGACACCTGTTCCAGTGACAACTGTCAAAGTGGAATTCTATTTACTTTGGGAGATTTCCTGTTGTGTCTCTGGGACAGGAAGTTAAGGAAAACTGTTAACACAGACCGCAAAAATAAGCTGACGGGTTTTAACTAGGGATGCAGCCATACTTACGAAACCGTGTATTTGGGCAAGTACTCATACTTACCCCCGATACCGGAACTTCCGGTCCGAGGGAGATTTCCTCTCACCGGCAGTGCCGCGAGGGAACATGGAGCCGGCTAATCAGGAAGCCGGGCCGTGGGTAATGGCTTCCTGATTGGCTGAGAAGCCAGCTCCATGGTGAATGGACGGGAAGGCAGCCGGCATCCCAGCCAATCAGCATGGATGCGGCCATTTAGCATGCAGCCGGCTTCCAGGCCAATCGGGAAGCCGGGCAGCAGGTAATGTCCCGCCTCTCTGCTGATTGGCCAGGAATCTGGTATCCCAGCCAATCTGCATCGAGCTGGCCAAACAGCATAGAGCGGGCTTCCCGGCAATCAAGAAGTTGGGCAGTGCGTAATGGCACGCTGCCCGGCTTCCTGATTGCCTAAAAAGCCGGAAGTACTGGTATCGGTACTCGGTATCGGCAAGTACCGAAATATAAATATCTGTACTTGTACGCCATACCTAAAAACTGGTATCGGTGCCTTCCTAGTTTTAACCCTTTCCTACTCCTATATAAAGCTTAAAATAAAAGTTTTTAGACTGTATGTACAGGACAGGACCACACATGAAAGCTGTGCCCCTCGCCCGTACGCATTCCATTTAGAGTCATGCTGATGAACCCTTCTCCTATTTCCAACAGGTTTTTCAGAAAATTAAGATTTCATTATGGCGTAGAGGTATCAGACATTTCAAAAAGTGCGGCCGAGACAGGGAACGGAGCCCAGCAGGTAAGGTAAATACCCCTCATTGTGAACTCTGTAGCCTCGGGTACTGGTTTTCATTTAAAGAGAACCTCCCTAAAGAAAAAAAAAATACTCAAACCTTTTTTCCTCCCTTACGCTTGGTTACTTTAAATCGCTGCAAATGATAAAGCGGCACCAGGTTGCATCAGGAATGTTTAAAGTGTATGTAAACCCGAATAGTGAACTTCTAGTCTGTTAAATATACCATTTGGAAGTGTTTTCTTATATCGGTAACATAAGTGCAAGCAATACCCATTGAGCCTATGATCAATTTAGAGCTGTCCTATGTCCTCGGCACACTCCTGTGTTATCTCAAAGAGCCCTCCTAGGTTTTATTTTGGAATGATTAGACTTTGTGTTGTGGAGATCTGAGGGGAGGTAATAAATAGTTTTCCAAAAGGCAGTGGGCAGGGCTGACACTGCTGAGTTTACAAAAACGTTGTGTGTTGTCGTCCCACAACTGACCATAAGGAGGAGCTGAGGGCATTTCTGGCAGATCAGCATGTATTTTTCTGTACTTGCTGGGTCCTTGAGGCCCGTTCACACCACCCTGTGTGTGTGATTCTCTGTATAGCCTGCGCACCTCTGTGTGCCTTTGTGTCGCAGTGGTGCAATGCGTTCTTATAATTCAGTGATTTATTTTTTTTAAGGCTATGATAATCTGCAAAGGATTTGATTCAGTCACATGCTACATTGTCAAGCGCGATTCTTCAGTAATCCTCTTTTCTTATATCCAGCGTGTATAATTTTTAGGCTGTATGGCTGTGTTACCCTGAAATAAGAGACTCCCATTCCTTTTTTTTATGTGTGATGTCTTCCTGACCCCATTTTTTTTCTTTCTATTGGATTTCTAGTTGCTTTTATCCTTTTTATATGTGAATTCTAGAAGAGTCAATCATCAGGCAGCATGTAACCCAAGACCCTCCCCCTTGTCATGCACATATTGGCTTAACTTGGTCATTATTTTAGAGATGTGTATGTATATATCGGTGTCACTAGAGGTCTTGATTGCTGGGAGGGATGCTCATGATGCCTGCCCTGGGAAGGGGGGGCGGTATGGGGGTGCATAACGTCCGGCCCAGCTCACTGACGCCACTGGTTTGCAGGAGCTGGGCGGGACACCAGTCGGAGCATCCTGCTCAGCTTCTGGCAGCCAATGATGTCAGTGAGCATCACAGATTGCTAAGAGCTCTTAGCAACCGGGGACGCTCTGGCTGGTAACGGGGCGGCAGGCACCCCTGCCGGCCAACCAACTCTTACCCCCCCCCACATGACCCAATGAGATGACACCTGAGGCAACGTGTGTGTATTCGATCTTAGTGTAAGCTTTCGTTCTACATACAGACATACCACTCAAATTGAGCGTTTTGATTTCGCGGTTGTTCAAAGATCTGTTTATTGGGTCTGTGTTCCAGTTGCTTTCAAATATCTAAAATCCCCAATACCACATTCTGTATCATTAAAATGAAAACCAGGTGAAAGTGCGGACATTGCTCTGTGTGTGTTCCATAAATTGGTAGAGACAGGAATTTTCTGAACAAGCTCCTCCCCGGTGTTCTCAGCTCCGCCCCTTGTTTTGATATCTCATTTATACTCAGCGAGAGTACATAATCGGCGGTCTCTTCCTCTTTAATCCCACAAAGAGGAGGAGCTTTCTATGGGCCTGTCATGGAATGGAGGATAAACACCAGGCTTGACTTGGCTTGCAAGTGTGCAGTAGGCTACCGTGGCCACGAGTCAGGTAAGCAAAGGCAACAGACTACACGTGTGACCTGTAAATTGATGATTAGATAAAACACACAAACTGTTTGGTCACTTGGATAGGGGCTGGTGACACTGCGGAGTTGGGTGATGATGGTGGCGGCCATATTGCTAGCGGAGTTAACGTGGGCCTGTCGGTGAACAGGATCTGTGCTGTGCAGCTCTATGGGATCAGGCTGAAAAGATTGATTTTTTTTTTTTTTCCCATCTGGTGATTAAAACCCTTTCATTCGTTACACCTTGTCTGTTCACTAAGGTGAGGTCACTGAGGCTCCAGCCAATAAGCACCTCCACTTGTCTATGGGTAGTGGGTGCACTTCTGTTATTCCCGAGCCAATGTGTACATCAGCCTTTCTCAACCTTTTTTCTCCAGGGGAACCATGAAAATAATGTTCAGGTCTTGGGGAACCCTGCTAAAATTATTTAATCAGGGGTCAGCAATTCCCCTTTACATTGGGGGTCATTGGGAAGAATGCTCCTTACATTGGTGGTCAGTGGGAAGAATGCTCCTTACATTGGGGGTCAGTGGGAAGAATGCTCCTTACATTGGTGGTCAGTGGGAAGAATGCTCCTTACATTGATGGTCAGTGGGAAGAATGCTCCTTACATTGGTGGTCAGTGGGAAGAATGCCCCTTACATTGGGGGTCATTGTAAGGGGCATTCTTCCCACTGTCCTATGTGGTGGTTGTCTCTGAGCCATGCGGACACCATCAGATGGGACGTCTGTCAGTTACAACTCAAGGAAGTCCTAACATCCTCTGGAGGAACTTGGATGAGAACGGCTGCTTCACACACTGTTGCTGAAATCTTCAGCTTTATTCAAGAGGTGAAACGTGCAATAAACCAGAGCAATCAAATCCGCCTACCCTGACCTGGTTACTATACATCCTACACACGTGATTGGTTGCTCTGGATTGCTGCACTTTCCGTATGATGGTTATTTGTATCACTGCCTTGTTAGATAAGCCAGATCGATAAGTGTGACATATTTTCCTTGTAGTAACCGGTCTATTCCTCTTGTCCAGCAGTACATCATCTCCATGAAGAATGCTCATTCATCACATGTCAGAGTGTGCAGTCAGCAAGAATCCCGAGGATGGCAAATTTACGCCACTGCACCATGACTGAGCAAATGTGAGTAAAAACAAAGAAGGAAAGCTGATCTATATTATTGTGAGCTGTGTTCTATGTACCAGATGCAAACACTTCGTTCCCAGCTTCTTACAGCAGAGAGCAGATATATGTATGTATATTTTTTTCTTGCAGCGTGCTAATTAATGTGTAAGGGTAAATCTTCCAGGTATTTATTGCCTCTCACAGAGATGACAGCACTCCCCCCGACAAATGATTTTGTCTGCTTTTCTATTAGGGATGCACCGATACTGATACTAGTATCGGTGCACCCCTAATAGAAAAGTGATGCCGAGTATTTGGGCGAGTACTGGTACTCGCCCAAATGCTCCGATGCCTGACCCGATACTTGGGCTTCCTAGCCAATCAGGAAGCCAGGCAGCGTGTAAAGACTCGCTGCCCGGCTACCTGATTGGCCGGGAAGCCGGCTTCATGCTCCCTCGTTGACGAGGGAGCATGGAGCCAGCTTCCCAGCCAATCTGGAAGCCGGGCGGCGTGTCATTACACGCCGCCCGGCTTTCCGATTGGCCAAAGAGCCTGCTTCCTTGGTCACTTGGTAAAGGGAAAGCATGCAGCCGGCTTTCTGGCCAATCGGGAAGCTGGGCGCCGTGTAATGACGCGTTGGCCAGCTTCTTGACCAATCAGGAGGCCGGGCAAGGTGTCATTACACGGCGCTCGGCTGTGGAGCCTGGTGACAAGGGAGCATGGAGACGGCTTCCCTGCTAATCGGGAAGCTGGGTGGCAAGTCTTTACACGCCGCCTGGCTTCCCAGCTAATCAGGAAACCAGGTGGTGAGTCATTACATGCCGTCTGGCTTCCTTAATGGGACTTCTGGTATCGGTATTTGGTATCGGCAAGTACCGGGGGGAAAAAAACCCCATTGGTACTCGATACCGAAAAACCAACATCGATGCATCCCTATTTTCTATGTAGAAGTATGGGGCTATCTTTGTTCAGGCATCAACCAAGGTCACCATCTACTTCCTGCACTGAGATGTGGGCTCAGAGATGATGCAGTCATGTAAATGTGCAAATTGTGCCTGTGCAACTTTTAGCTGTAATTACAAATGTGTAGCACAGATCAGCCCCCGCTGCAGTCTTTTATCTTATGACTTGCTACAAAGTTACTGCGTTGCAGTCTGATTACTGGAGAAGAGGAAATGCTTCCTCCTGCCTGCAGCGGACTGATAATCATGTCGGCCTTGGCAAAGTCTCTGACTGGAGTTCAAATATGGATTCCAAAGGATATAAAGAAAATAGCTACAAAATATATCAATCCACTTTGTGTGCAGCAGATGTAAAAGTGGCACTGACATCATCACCGTGCTGTACATAGCCTATTCACAGAGCTGTGGGAGGGGCCCAGCAGGCTCCACCCGCTACAAGCTGCCTGCAGAAAACTACAAGACAAGACCAGTCACCCTGTCTTTATTACAGGAGGGGGCTGAGACGAGACCAGTCACCCTGCACAAGGAGAGCAGCAGTGACCGGTCCTTGTCACAGGAGGGGGTGGAGACGAGACCAGTCACCCTGCACAAGGAGAGAGTGCAGCAGTGAGCAGGCTTTATTACAGGAGGGGGTGGACACAAGACCAGTCACCCTGCACAAGGAGAGAGCAGCAGTGACCGGTCTTCATTACAGGAGAGGGCTGAGACGAGACCAGTCACCCTGCACAAGGAGAGCAGCAGTGACCGGTCCTTGTCACAGGAGGGGGCGGAGACAAGACTAGTCACCCTGAAAAGGAGAGAGAGCAGCAGTGAGCAGTCTTTATTACAGGACTCTGTGTCTTACTGGATTACTGCACAGATCTGGAAGAAATACATAAAACATACAAGTAAGAAAACAAATGGCCTCTTGCACTTAGTCATGATTTGCTTATCCTGACTGGAGCCTTAAACAGCCGTGTCATAAGAAACTATGTAAAAATGTTTTGATTAGAGAGCTCTGTAACTCATTTGCCTTTTTTTTCTCACTTTTACAGATTCAACTGAATAGCCAAGGTATCCCGATTCCTTGCTTTGACTTCATTCTTATGCCCTCTGCACACCGGTCCCATCACCTCTTGTGGGTTTATACCAAGAAAGGAACAATGTCTTCCTGGGGGTGCGGAAGGGAGGAGGCTGGTGGACTGTGACCAGAAGCACTCCAAGGGCTCCCACTTTGACAACATAGGCCAGGGCCTTAAGCATCTTTTTCAGCATCAGAGACGCCGCTCCTCCGTCTCCCCTCACGATGTCCAACTGGCACAGCCAGAACCTGATCCGGAACCGGACCCATCGCAGGTTTCAGACGTTGACGGAGCAGGGCAACCCACTGCCCTCAATCGTGTCCTTCAGCAAATTCGGGCTCCACCCAAAGTGAAAAGAGGGAGCAGCCTTCAGCAAAACCGCAAAGGCAAGACACGCGGGAGCCCACAAATCGGTCGCCGGTCTGCGCAGGACATCATGGCTGTCCTTTCACAGCCTGCCCGTCCTCGGTCTTCATCCACAACAGATGCACACCCCGCCTCTACAGCGCTAGAAATCTCCAACAACTCATACCTATCTGCAGAAGATTCATCTGAGAAGGTAAGCGGCCAAGACTATGAGCAGGGGTGACGGGCTGTTCTTGGGGCTCGAATGTTATAGAAATAGCGTTATGTATATCGCCGATGTGGTCCGCATATTTCAAACTGCCGTACTCTACCCCTCACATTACTAGTCTAGTATGGATTTAATGCTGATACAGAAAAGATGATGCACTATGTGGCCAGAAGATGGATAGTGGACATCCGACCATCGCACCTTTTTAGAAGTTGGACATCCGTTCCCAAAACCATGAACATTAATGTGCCCTTGGGCCCCTTTAGCTGCTTTCACAGCCTTCTGGGAAGGCTTTCCATAAGAATTTGGGGGGTTATATAGGGGCTGTGATGGTCAGGTGTCAACAAACCTTTGGCCATATAAGAAAATGTGATGAACAGGTGGAAAAAACCTTAGGCCATGTAGGAACTGGGATGGTCAGGTGTCTACAAATCATGGGCCATATAGGAAGTGTGAAGGACTGATGTCAACAAACCTTTGGCCATATTGGAACTGAGTTGGTCGGGTGTCAAGAAATCTTTGGGTATATAGGAAGTGGGTATATAGGAAGTATAGGTATATAGGAAGTGTGATGGCCAATGTCAACAAACCATGAGCCTTATAGGAAGTGTGATGGCCAGGTGTCAACAAACTTTTGGCCATGTAAGAACCTTGATAGAAATCTTGGGCCTTATAGGAAGTGTGATGGCCAGGTGTCAAGAAACCTTTGGCCATGTAGCAACCTTGATAGTCTGGTGTCAAGAAATCTTGGGTCTTATAGGAAGTGTGATGGCCTGGTGTCAACAAACCTTTGGCCATATCGAAACTAAGTTGATCAGGTGTCAAGAAATCTTTGGCTATAAAGGAAGTGTGTTGGCCTGGTATCAACAAACCATGAGCCATATAGGAAGTGTGTTGGCCTGGTATCAACAAACCATGAGCCATATAGGAAGTGTGTTGGCCTGGTATCAACAAACCATGAGCCATATAGGAAGTGTGTTGGCCTGGTATCAACAAACCATGAGCCATATAGGAAGTGTGTTGGCCTGGTATCAACAAACCATGAGCCATATAGGAAGTGTGTTGGCCTGGTATCAACAAACCATGAGCCATATAGGAAGTGTGTTGGCCTGGTATCAACAAACCATGAGCCATATAGGAAGTGTGATGGCCAGGTGTCCACAAACCATGAGCCATATAGGAAGTGTGATGGTCGGGTGTCCACAAACCTTTGGCCATATAGTGTACTTTTGGCTGTTGGACATCTCCAAGCAATGCTGGTTATCATGACTTCAGTACGTCTGCATATTGGTGTGATGGTTTATCTGACCCTAGGGGGGGACGCTAATGTAGGTGATCTATGAACTGTTTTTTGAACTTAGAGCTGCACAGCCACCCGCTTCCCACTAATCTCCTGCGTCTTGTCTGGAGGCCACCGTGTGCCTCCCTGGCTCCATGCAATCTCCCGAGCACCGCAGCCCTCATAGGACCTCCAGAATATATAATGACCCGTCTGGAACATGTCCGAGTGCTTTCTCATCCGCGCTTTATTATTTATAACCGTCTCCACAACTGGTTGGTCTCCAGCCAAATGCACAGAAACAAGGTCACCGCGTCTTGGTTGTACTTTTACATTAAAAATATATAGATGTGTTTTATATTGTCGAACTTGTGTCTCCGCTCCACGCTTTATAATGGCCGGCCTCTAGAAGAGCAGTTGAAGGCCGAATGGCAATCATCTACTTGGGAAGGCTGAAGATAAACGGATGGCCGCAAAGCAATATTATCAGGTTTCCTAACATTCTATTCTTCTGCAAAGAGCAAACTGCAGCCCCACCTGGAATCACAAGCTGATGCGTTTCACCTCTATACAGACTGATATTGTACTATTAAAGGAGAACTATGGGGTTAAGGCTTTTCCCCATAGTTCTCCTTAGGGTAACGGGAGGACACAAACTAGCGTCCTCCCGTCACCCTAGGCTCAGTATGTAGGGAGCTGCTGCTCGCGGTATACTGAGACGCCGCAGCTGAAGCGGATCCCGACAATTATGCCGGGATCCGCCCAGCTGCGTGACTGCCAGCTGGCTCTGCCCATCTAGAGGCAGAGCCAGCTGTACCTGCCCCCTCCCCCGTCCGTTCCGCCAGTCAGCGCTGGCAGATTGGAGCGGGGAGGGGGGAATCCAGCCCCTCCCCTGTCACAGCAGAGAGCCGTGACAGGATCGAGAGGTGAGCGAACGCCGGTATGTGTTCGCTCACCTCCCGATCTACTGAGCCGACCTGTGACAGTCTCATTGTCACAGGGCGGCTAGAACTATGAGGTGAGTGAAAAGCACCCCCCTCATAGTTCTCCTTTAAGCACGCAAGGGGGAAATGTGTCAGTGGGGTGCGCCCAGGGGGGGGGGGGGGCAGCATGCTCTGTCCGGAACTATAACATTTTATTTAAGAGCTGCGACCGTCCGCATTTGTGTGTATATTGTCTGTGTGTTCACATATAGAACAGTGCAGGTGACCCGTCTGTGATGCTTTTATTAGCTGTTTTGGGTTGTTGGTCATGTTTTCAGAGAAGGTGATCTTCACAACTTCAGGTCATTCAGACCTCGAGAGAGAGAGAGAGAGAGAGGTCTGTGTCTCATAGTAAATATTGCTTCATAAGGATAATGGCTGCTTCCAGCGGCCTGCTCCTTTTCCTGGCCATCGTTAAAGTGGACCTGTCCTTAAAGTGCATGTGAACCCTAACAGTGAACTCCTATTTGATTCCATTTATATAGCTTCTTGTTATATCTGCTTCATAAGTGCAAAAAAAAATACTTGGTGATCCTGCCAGAAATCTTGTGAGCTGATCTGACTTCCTCTGCCTATTTATCATTATGCCCAATGCTCCCTGTGCACTACAGAACCCGGGGGGGGGGTTCTGTAGTGCACACTTCCTGTCCTAGGGTGACAACCGTCAATCACAATTGTGCCCAGCATTGTTAACCTAGGTCAGTGAGCTTTTAAAAACTACAGTACACCTCCGCCTCTCCTCTATAACACAAGAGCCCCCTCTTATGTTATAGAGAGGTGGAGGTGTACTGTAGTTTTTAAAAGCTCACTGTCCTAGGTTAACAATGCTGGGCACAATTGTGATTGACGGTTGTCACCCTAGGACAGGAAGTGTTACCGGCAGGATCACCGGGTGAAAAAAAATGAAAAAATACTTGCGCATACCACGGTCCCGCTGGCTGCTAGACCGGCCCCTTCAGCCTGTCCCCTTCTTGGCTCCAGCGATGGAATGTCCATCAACATGTTGGCATCCGATACACTGTATAGGGCTTGATGACTCGCAGGACCTTAGACTGCTGGAGCGGAGGGGGGGTGGGGGAGAGGCTGCAGGCACTGGTCTTACAGCCAGCCGAAATTGACGTTTGGGAGAGTATATTAGACAAAATCGGCACTTAACCTTTTGCAGTGGGGTTACCTCAGCACTTCACAAGTTAAGATTTTATTTGCCCGGCGTTCTCCTTTAAGGATTGCGGTTTGCTATAATTTCTTGGGATTGCATCTGAACTTTTCTTTGTTGATCTATAACTCTTGAAGGACGTCGCATGCATCTGGCCAGGAACACGAATGTTTAAAGGAGAACTATGAGGGGGGTGCTTTTCACTCACCTCATAGTTCTAGCCGACCTGTGACAATGAGACTGTCACAGGTCGGCTCAGTAGATCGGGAGGTGAGCGAACACATACCGGCGTTCGCTCACCTCTCAATCCTGTCACGGCTCTCTGCCGTGACAGGGGAGGGGATGGATTCCCCCCTCCCCGCTCCGATCCGCCAGCGCTGACTGGCCGGACGGGGGAGGGGGCGGGTACAGCTGGCTCTGACTAGATAGGCAGAGCCAGCTGTCACTCACGCAGCTGGGCGGATCCAGACATCGATGCCGGGATCCGCTCCGGCGTCTCAGTATACCACGAGCTGTAGCTCTCTATATACGGAGCCTAGGGTGACGGGAGGACGCTAGTTTGTGTCCTCCCGTTACCCTAAGGAGAACTATGGGGAAAAGCCCTGACCCCATAGTTCTCCTTTTAAAGATAGAATAAGTTAGATTGATTGCCCTATTAAAGGAGAACTATGAGGTGAGTGAAAATCACTCACCTCATAGTTCTAGCCGACCTGTGACAATGAGACTGTCACAGGTCGGCTCAATAGATCGGGAAGTGAGCGAACACATAC